AGTATAATATCAACTGACTTATGAACCATTCCTTCAACTGATTCTTCTTCCTGTAGCGTGGTGCCTCATTCTAACCTACGAACACTAGTGTAATATCAACTGAGTTATGAACCATTCCTTCAACTGATTCATCTTCCTGTAGCGTGGTGCCTCATTCTAACCTACGAACACTAGTGTAGTATCAACTGAGTTATGAACCATTCCTTCAACTGATTCATCTTCCTGTAGCGTAGTGCCTCATTATAACCCACGAACACTATTATGATATCAACTGAGTCATGAACCATTCCTTCAACTGATTTATCTTCATGTAGCATGGTACTTCATTCTAACCCACGAACACTAGCATAATATGAACTGAGTTATTAACATAATTGTGCTAGCATTCGCGAAAAAATCTGAAGCATTCATTTTCATTCAGCATGTCGTACAAGTGATTACAAGAAACACGAACCAAATACAACAATTGAGCCTAATAAAGTGTTAAAGGTAAAAAATGTAGTGTCCTAGAACAATTACAACACAATAAACATAAACCGACGTTAAGTACTTTAACTATAAATCAACGTTATATATAGTAACATAAACCAACGTTATGTAGAGTAACGATAAACTAATGTTATGTACTGGAACTATACACCAACGTTATGTAGAGTAACGATAAACTAATGTTATGAACAATAACCATAAACCAACGTTATGTACTGGAACTATACACCAACGTTATGTAGAGTAACGATAAACTAATGTTATGAACAATAACCATAAACCAACGTTATGTACTGGAACTATACACCAACGTTATGTAGAGTAACGATAAACTAATGTTATGTACAGTAACCATAAACCAACGTTATGTACAGTAACACAAGCCAACGTTATATAATGTAACTATAAGCAAACGTTATATACAGTAACATAAACCACCGTTATGTACAGAAACAATAAACCAGCGTTATGTACAGAAATTACAAACCAATGTTACATACAGTAACACAAAACAACGTTATATACAGTAACATAAACCAACGTTATGTACAGTAACATCAACCATCGTTACAAACTGTAACTATGAGCCAACGAGATATACTGTAATTATAAGCCAACGTTATACACAGTAACTCTATAGCAACAGTATATATAGTAACTATAAGCCAACGTTACACACAGTAACATAAACCAATGTTATGTACAGTAACTATAAATCAACGTTATATACAGTAACTATAATCCAACATTATGTACAGTAACGATAAACCAACGTTATGTACAGTAACAATAAACCAACGTTGTGTACAGTAACTACAAACCAACGTTGTATCTGTAACTACAAACCAACGTTGTATCTGTAACTATAAACTAAAATGTATACAATACCTATAAATCAACGTCATATACAGTAACATAAACCAATGTTATGTACAGTAACTATAAACTAAAATGTATACAGTAACTATAAATCAACGTTATATACAGTAACGATAAACCAACGTTATATACAGTAACATAAACCAATGTTATGTACAGTAACTATAAACTAAAATGTATACAGTAACTATAAATCAACGTTATATACAGTAACATAAACCAACATTATGTACAATAACAATAAACCAACGTTATATACTGTAACATAAACCAACGTTATGTACAGCAACATAACGATATGTACTGTAACTATAAGGCAACGTTATATACAGTAACATATACCAACAATATGTATAGTAATTATAAACAAACGTTATATACACTAACGTATACCAACAATATGTATAGTAATTATAAACAAACGTTATATACAGTAACATTAACCAACATTATATACTGTAACTATAAACCAACGTTATTTACAATAACGATAAACCAACGTTACATACAGTAACTATAAAAACCAACGTTATATTCAGTAACATAAACCAACGTTATATACAGTAACAATAAACCAACGTTGTGTACAGTAACTACAAACCAACGTTGTATCTGTAACTATAAACCAACGTTATATACAGTAACACAAGCCAACGTTATATACAGTAACTATAAACAAACGTTATGTACAGTAACAAGAAACCACCGTTATATACAATAACATAAACCAACGTTATGTACAGTAACTATAAACAAACGTTATGTACAGTAACTATAAACAAACGTTATGTACAGTAACAAGAAACCACCGTTATATAGAATAACATAAACCAACGTTATGTACAGTAACTATAACCAACTTTGTGTACAGTATTGTTACGTCTCCGTTCGTTAGTTAATTTTCAGTAACTTCGTTCCGGCGAAACATTAGCGACACAAGTCCTTTCTTAAATAAAACTGATTTATTCTTTCCGAATACAACTTTAACGATTACCTACACACATTGTCCCGTCACATTGTCACCGATTACTAGATATAGGGTAGTCTGGTATATATAAGATACCCGTCAATTCCCGAAGGTTCGAGAGAAGGAGTGGCGTGATACTAGTCACGTGACCTCGCTGACGCAACAATATGTACAGTAACTATAAACCAACGTTATATACTGTAACTATAAGCCACTGTTATATACAGTAATATAATCCAACGTCATGTACAGTAATTATAAACCAATGTTATTTACAATAACTATAAAAACCAACAATATATACAGTAACATAAACCAACAATATATACAGTAACTACAAACCAGTAATATATACAGTATCTTTGTTTTTGTTTGTTTTGAATTTCGCGCAAAGCTACACAAGGGATATCTGTGTTATACAGTATCTATAAAGCAACGTTACATACAGTAACATAAAACAACGTTATGTACAGTAACAATAAACCAACGTTATGTACAGTAACAATAAACCAACGCTATATACAGTAACTATAAATCAAGAATATATACACTAACTATATACTAACGTTATATTCTGTAAATATAAACCAACGTTATATTTAGTAACTATAATCAAGAATATATACACTAACTATATACCAACGTTATTTACAGTAACTATAAACTAAAAATGTATACAGTAAATATAAACCAACGTTATGTTCAGTAAGTATAAACCAACTTTACACACAGTAACTAGAAACCAACGTTATGTACAGTAACGATAAACCAACATCGTGTACAGTAAGTATAAACCAACGTTATATTGAGTGGTGGTTATAAATATCAATAAAACAATTTTAAGTAAAGGAATAGTAAAATTTGAGGTAGGAGTATATATGAAGACTGATAAAAATAATTATTCTTTCAGTTATTGTGTTTTTATTGTAATAGTAAGCATAAATGAATACTTACGGAACCCAAAGACAACGTCTACCTGTTTCTTTTAGATCTCCTTTGAAACTAGCAAAGTGGTCGAAGAAACTTTACTATCACTCCGGCGATCTCTTCGTTCTTAAAGTTACTAATTATGGAGCACGAGACTAATGTTTGGTTAGCTCTTCAAAAGTCTAACGCTTAATTCGAGTAACCGATTTTCAAGAGTCAATTTCTGATAACATTTCAGATATATACCGATATTAATAAGTATGAAGAGGTATGAAACAAAGCTCGTGAGGGCATTATGCCTAATGCCAGGTGCTTATCAAATCTATACTTAATATACAAGCATATAGGCCTAGATAACAAATGACGTTTCTGGTTAGCTTGTAACTTCTTAGGGAAGACGAAAAAGACAGATTCTTGTTAAAACTTATAAACTTACAATCAATGTGAGTTGATTCGGTAAAAATCTTACATCTCTCGTTTTGACCCTAGTGTTCTTGTTTCTGAATACATTTATGCTAGTAATATAAAATAATAACCCCATTTATAAAAGCAGTATTTCGTATTTGAAACATGTAGCTGCGACCGAGCGACAAAATTTTATAGACGCTTAATATTCATTACACATCTAGTTTCTACAAAGAACAGTGGTTAGCAAATATTAGACCCATATGGAACTAGAAAATCAAATATTTCCTAATATCCACACATCAGTGATCTGATGGTTTTAGTTTTAACAAGCATTTTATTGAAACGAAATGACATTTGTTTTGACCTTCTCAGTTGTAATATTTTTATTTGTGAAAAATGCTTGTAAGGAGTGAGTAAGTGCAAGAGAGAAAAAAAAGCTTTGAGAGCAAAGTGATACTTTTGTTAGATTATTGTCGTCTCCAACTCTTCTGTTTCTTCTGTCGTTTTTTTTTTGGGGGGGGGTCTTCTACCAAAAGGCCACCCCCAGGCATCAGTACGCGACCCATAGGGGGCGCGCCCACTGGTTAAAAAACACTTCCTTATGGCATTATGAAAATATCGTATATGGATATATATATATATACACAAATAATAATTTTTAAAATGAAGGTTAATTTTTTTTAATGTTGAAAGTAGAAATGCTTGTTAGTTCTTACGCAATTTTTATTCTATCGATAGTTTTGAATATACATACCCATGTTACAACTTCAGCTATAACAATGTTTTTTCTTGTTTTTTTAGAATGTCTAGTTTTGTCGCAATAATAGTTTGGCTATGCAGTGACTTAGAGTGATGCGTTATATTTCCATTCTTTGGTTATAGTTACTTTTATCTGACGTGTTAAGCCCCCCACTGGAACAGCGGTATGTCTGCAGACTTACAATGCTAGAAACCGGGTTTCGATACCCGTTGTGAGCAGAGCACAGATAGCCCATTATGTAGTTTTGTGCATAATTTCAAACAAACAAACAAACTGACATGTCAAAGAAGTTAATAACATAGTGTATGAACTATAAACCATTGGTAATGATAAGGCTTGCGCTTGCGGAAGAGAATTTATTTTCAATTTTTTTAATTCAAAACTATAAACTTGATTGTTAATGTTAAAAATTAGGTAAAAAACTATTTTTCCTATAGTTATACACAATTCCAGTAATATTTTTAATGTTTATAAGAAAGTTAGTACTTAGCCGAAACAGTAAACGTTAATTAAATTTAACGAAATACGATCGTAAATCAGTTAAATTTGTCTTATTGACACTCATAGTCTCATTGAAATAGGTAAACGGTTTAGTAACCGAGATGAGTAACAGCGACAAGAACGTTGTGTCGTTAGTAAAAGTTATTTTTGAATGTTAAAACTCGTAAAAATAGACGTTAAAACCTAAAGGTAAGTTAACATTTGACATTTTTTTAATGTAAAAGGAGTTGTGTAACTGTCATTATTAAGGGTAAAACTAAAAGATTCTTTAACGTAAAGTTAAACTTTAAATTATCCAGTCAAGGCATACTATTACAGTATTAGTATTACCATGCTAGACCCTAAACTCGTAACGTTACATTAATTTATAATGCTGCGTTAATAATGCAAATACTATTAATATTATGTAGGATAGTCCAAATATCTGGCTGGTATTAGTTATAACGGTAGTTAAGCTAGTTCAAATAACTGGCTAGTGATGTTGTCTGTAGTGTAGGTAATTCATATATATGGCTTGTAATAGTAAAATTAATATGTAAATTGTAAGCTAGTCCAAATGTTATTATTAGGCTAGTATTACTGTTAGTAATAATGTGTAGGCATAATTAAACTATAAGTGAAATTGAATCTGGGTTCAAGTTTAGCATAATTTTTTTTTAAACATGCAGTACAGTTTTACCTGTTCTCGAATAGTTTGATTGCCTTTGATACCATTTATTATGATAATTTATTATCATTGCCCATTAATAAAAGTATTATGCTCCAGCATCAGTACTAAACAGTAGACAAAAACTGGCTGTTAGTGTAAAGAATCACTAATGTAGTAGTATACTATCTTAGTATCTATGGGATTAGAATTTATGTAGCCAAGGGCTGTAACACTCCATTAACAACTTCAAGTGATTAAGAGAGATTTTACAAATATTACCAATATCATATGTGAATTAAGATTTATACAAAACAGATATTATTATATGGTTGAGTAGTTATTATAAAAATCTTATCCAGATTTTTTTTTATTGAGTTTATAAACTTTGTCCAACAAACTATTATGTACAACTTATGGTCTAATGAGGCACGTGAAGTTTGAAAATGTTTAAAAAACCCTGTAACTATGCTGGAAAGTATAATATAATTAATAAATTAATTAAATAAGATATTTGAATGGAATACAATATGAAATGTGTAGCAAAAGCAATATTCAAATGATTCATTAGGTTATGAGGTAGGTATTAGAGTGTTTAAATGACAAAACAATAAGATTTTCACTCTTTTCATCAAATACGAAAATCTGTATTTTTCAGCTAGTATAATAATAATTTTTGACATAACATAGTACAACAAGGAACAGTTTTGTCCTTCAAGGCCTTTCTTATCAACCCACCCTGGGGAAAGTAAAATTTCAAACCCACCCTTTATTTTTCAGGAAATCATTGATTGCTGTCTTAAACTGCAAGCTTCCATTAATGTTGAGGACAATTCATTTCATATGTTAGTCACATTGTCAGAAAAGTAAAACTGTCTTAACTGAAGCCAGGCCTTTCTTTTCCAAATTTTAAACTTGTGTTCTTTCATCCTGTTATTTTCAGAATATAGCACTAAGAAATCAAAGGCATTTATTCTATTGAACCTCCAGATAATGCTGTAAACTTGTGTAAGATCACCTCTTACCTGGCCTGGTGGTTAGGGCATTCAACTCATAAACTTCAGGTTTGAATCCAATCACTGAACATGCATGTCCTTTCATCTGTGAGGGTGTTATAATGTGACAGTTAATCCCACTATTTCATTAGATTAGCCCTAGAGCTGGTGGTGGTGATCAACAGCATTCTCTCTAGTCTGTCACTTCTAAATTAGGGACAGTTAAACTAGCACAGGTAGCCCTCGAGTATCTTTGCTCACAGTTCAACAAAACAAGTAAACAGACAAACAAAACATCTTATCATTCTTTACTGAAGAGAAAATACGTTTGTGGCCTTAACCTATCCCTGTAAGATAATCATACAATCCCCAAAATAATCCAAGTAACCTTCCTATGAACCATTTAAAATAAGTTGATATCCTGTCTTACATAAGGTGACCAAAGCTATACACATTATTCAGAGTGAAGCCTAACTACTGGACTGTTTTGTATACAGAGATAATTACCTCTTTTGACTTGTTATTGGTATGTTTATAAATACACACTAAAATTCTATTTTATTTCTGCCAACAGAGCAACAGTTCAATAGCTTGAGTGGCTTACCCATCATTATGACTAAATCCTTTTCTTCAATCACACTATTGGGTGGGTTCCCATTTATATTAAACATGAACTAAATTAAAACTATAATTAAAGGTAATTT